GTTGACTAGACCAATACCAATTGCATCTTTGTAGATACGCTTCTCAATGTTCAAAATGATAAAATTCTACATTTGATCAATAATATCACAAGAAAGGTTGCATGCATTGACCATGAAGTCTATAGAAAAACGAAGTTCTAAAATATGTCGATTGTAATAGCATAATAATTAATTTTCTATCAAATAAATTATTGAACACTAAATTTAATTTAGTTATTTGAAAGTTTTAGATTATTATTTTTCTAATTTTAATATTTTTATTTAATAAAAAAATATTATTTATTATTCTTATAATATATTTTTATGATTTCATATTTGAAGTTGGTCTAAGGTCCCAGTATCTCAAGACCGACCGATAGCGATCACGCCCCCACAACATTTCAAAATTTTCTTAAATGCAAGTGGAAATTTTGAATTTTTTTAATATATTCATAATAAATGAATATTTTGCTCGTTCAACATTTTTTGCCTTCTTTTGTGAAATTTATGGCTACATTACTGTTAATAGTGAATCAAACTCGATAATTCACTTCAAACACTATTTGCTCGTGATCACCTTCGTGTTCAAGTGATACTCCAAAACCAACATGAAAGATGCAACAAGCTTTGACCATTCTAGATACAGAAGTGAAGGGAGAAGAAGACACGGCCCATAGCCACTGTTTGACGAGGATTAAAATCAGATTTTTAATATATTTTGATCAAATTTGATGAATTATGTGGTAGAAAAGTTGTGAAACCCATAACATACGTGCTTAAAATTGATTGTTAACTTTGATTTAGATTAAAATCTATATTTTAATGTGTACCAAACATGGACTAAGATTTATATATTCATATTTCTCGTCCTAATATAGCTAGGTCGGTCATAGCATTAATTAAGTATCTTAATATCCCGTTCAATAAACTTTGCTAATGTAGAAACGTGTTAGAAACTTAATTTTGTACTTCTTTCTGGTATTTACTACTATTTAGATAAAATAATTTGTATAATTAACAAATTGTTATTCAAAATTGAGTGAATTACACCTCGTGACATATTTGATTATTATCGTGATGGAGAATAGTATTGTAGTACTTGGATCACATTTCAATGTCTCAATAACAAGAAAATAGAGTAAACGAATTAACCATCTAGATTCTGTCAAAAAAAAAAATCATATATCGAATTATTAGAGGCAAATAATTTCTAAATATTTTAGTTTATGTATTTTGTTTCTTGAAACCAATTGAGATGGCTATCTCAAACCAGACTAAAGAAAATTGCTAGTGGAATGGTTAAACAACGTGTAACTTGAAGATTTAAATGTAGTTTGCTTGAAGATAATTCAAGCTTATGACCTTAAGTTTGTCAACTACTGTCATGAATTTGATTGGTTTGTTGTCATTGATTTCTTATAGTTTTTCCTGTATTATGTTTTAACTAGACCTTTGATTATAGATGTTAAAGCATAATGACTTACTAAAGCATAACGACTTACTAGTTGAATGGTTAAACCACGTGCAACTTGAAGATTTAAATGTAGTTTGCTTGAAGATAATTCAAGCTTACGACCTTAAGTTTGTCAACTACCGTCATGAATTTGATTGGTTTGTTGTCATTGATTTCTTATAGTTTTTCATGTATTATGTTTTAGCTAGACCTTTGATTATAGATGTTAAAGCATAATGACTTGCTATGCTCCTCTTTTGTCTTTTGTTTAGATAAAAATCAAAATTTTAATAGATTTTTATAAAAGTTGATGGAATATGTAATTGAAAAGTTGTGGGTTCCATAAAATATGCAATTAAAATTAATTATTGATTTTGACATAAATTTTAATTAGATTTTATTGTTGAACCAAATCGGAGTTAAAAGTGATATTGATAAATTTATGCTTGATACTACAAGAAAATACAGAAAAAATATCTTAGATAAGTTAATTACTTAATTTGTGATGTGATTAATTTTTACATGGTCAAAAGTTTCATAAAGTTTAAAAATACACTTCATAACTTTGGACGGTCCATTTTTACATATTTTTAGTTGTAGTGGGGCCCTCTCAGGGACCAGAATGCACAGCATTGAATGATGAGTTGCGGTTTGTCAACCCCATATCAATTATCATTCGACTTTTATCATTCGAAAGATGAATCATGTTTGACCTTTAATACTTTAATTTATGGTGTTGCTGCTAAAGTTCAATTGACCTCCTTTTAAACAAAAGGATTTGAACCGTAAATTACCGTGAGTAGGATTGTTAACGAATTGAATTTTGATTCGAATTCGATAGAATGAATGAAAGATAAATTTAGGCTCTTAGTCCGATAATCCGTTAATTAAATAGAACAAATATGAATATAAGTCAATTCGATTCGATCACAACACAATCTGATTTATTATAATAACTAGGTGAAAGCAACGTGCAATGCACGTTTGCTTAGTCTATATTTAATAATTTTGTTTAAGATGTAATTTTTTTTGTCATTGAAAGCTAATAATTGCCGAGAGGATTCAACCTCTTTGAAACTACTAATAACCAATCGTAGTCTACTATTGGAACCCATCTTTACAAATTCAGCCCTTCAAGAATATGCATTAAACAAGTCCAAACAGCATTATCATTTGTTGAACCAAAAATAAAGCTTAGGAACTTCACTCTAATATACACATTCAACAAAGAAAAAACAAAATTTATATAAGAAAACAAGGATCATTATATGGTTGAAGAAAGACCATATTATTTCATTAACAAGTAAACAAAAAATGGTTGAACCCCAACCTTGAGGGCCCCCACCGACCCTAAATCTCGTGAAATGACAAAAATACAATCAAGCTCACAGAAGCAGGAGGGAACTAAAAAAGAATAAAGGTATGTCAGAAAGGTTGGATGTAACACTAAACAGAGAGTGCTGATACCATTGCCGTTTGTGATTTGTCAGAATTTCCGGATCAAAAGAAAAATACTGGTTATCTTCATGAGAACTGTAGTTACCCCAGTGTAAAGCCCTTTGCATCTGAGACTTCAATTTCTGAAAATTACTACAGCTAGCGTTACGCCCATGAAACAAAGTCACTACTTCACTATGGGCATGGCAAACTCACAAGATTTCTTTTATTATTTTATGATTTATAATTTAAATTGTATTTAAAAATAAAAAATATTAAAGAGTTAAATAAATAAGTAAAAGGGATGGCAAATGAAGATTTTTTAATCTCCAACCACCCCGATTCTCAAAAATCCTGAACGAAAATAAATATATAGAGAGAGAGAGAGAGAGAGAAAAAATACATTTTTTAAGTGATTCCAACGGCTTTCCATCCGTGACTGAAGACATCACTGATGACATTAGATCAATTGAAAACTTTTTGGGAACCGGGACCAAATTTTGAATTTTTTAGACATTTGTTTCTTTCTCATACTGTTTCAAAATTTCTTTTCTTTTCATTTGCCAAATTCACTTTACAGTGTAATAATAATATGAAAACCCATAAAGAGTAACTCATTATGGTAACCAACATTGCATTACAGTCAAGGTTGGAAGTCTAGTTCCCAACCTCTTATTCTGTCCAGCCTGCCTGTGAAGCACGTCTTGTTCAACCAGAACTTCTGTGACAAGTGAAACTATGTAGGAAAAACAAATAAAGAAAGCATAAGATGTTAAAGCTGATGTATATAGATTCAGCCCAACCAATTAGCATATCTATTTGCATAAGCAATTGATCAAAATACAAGAGCTCGCACACAAAGAGAACACGAAAAGGAATCAATTACTGACATTTGCAGAAAACAAAGCTAAACCCCGAAATTAAACAATCAAACAACAGATTGAAACTTCTCATTTCTTCTTCGAGATAGATAAAAGATAATCTTTATACAGCTTTCTTACAACCGTAACACGATTAACAAAATCTATAATCAAGTATACGCAGAAACTTAACCTTAATCTGTAAATCAATAGAGTAACAAATTCAAATAAACAACAAAACTACGAAACGAGCCAACATTAAGGATCCAACCATTAACTGTACTTTACACTTCAATCTTCATCCCCTCTTAAATTGTAACCGTCAATTAAAATATAAAACGGAAGAGAAAAACTACACACACACAAAAGTATAGATACAGAAACGAATGGAAGGGTAACGTACCTTTGTAGTTCGGGAGTTTAACAACAGATCTGTAGAGAGAGAAAGTTGTAGCCGGAGAGTCCATTTATAAATGGACTGATTTGAATGAGGGAAATTCAACAAAAACCAAGTGAATTCAGAACAGAGGATGAATTCAACTCACCAAAACTTTCTAATTTGTTATGGGATCTTGGAGTTCTTTGAAAATCGCACTGGAACAAGCGTGAGAACAAGCTGCAAATAATAGCTCTCTCTCATGATCACAATTAAAAAAACTACTAATAATCAAAATCACTACTAAATTATATGTACAACAATTCTGAATAATTAATTCCAATAGGCAAAGTCCCAAATTAAATAAATAAGAAATCAACAATAATCAGAACCTATTCTCTCCGAGGAGTTATTAACTGTACAGCTCCAACAATTTCACAATCCTTAGTCCAGAACAAGAACCTTCAAATTGTTATGAACTTGAGCAGATAAAGAAAAGCTTAATGTTCCCTTTAATAACAATTAAGCATAACAATTCCAACATTTTTACATATAATCAAATAAACCGCATATAAATTTTCAAAATAGTTAGGCAGAGGTGTACAGCAAATGCCTTCTCCAATTAATTAGTCCTCATTTTGGATTAAGATGCCACAATTTTGCATGTACCAATTGTTCATGTTCCTTTCTTTTTCTTATATAAAAAAAAGGCCCTATTGCATTTACAATCAACATTCAATTTACATTTGCAGGTTGAATCGTAAAAATGATCAGAACTTACAAGTATTAACTGGACTCAAAACTTAATCTCTTTAAGAAGATTCTTCAGCACTCCCATACAGCCCTTAATCCACTAAATTCTATAATGAACCATGAATTAGTCGTCCCAGAAAAATCACAAGCAAGAAACTGAGACAGAATATCTGCCCGTCAGATGACCAGTAGGAGGCCCGCGAGAAAAACCACCACCTATTTTGAGGATTGAACGTCAAATAGACACACATCCAACCCATAAAAGCATTTCATCAAACACCTTATAAACTGAGAGTTTTCATTTTTTTTAAAAGATTATAACCCTACAAAGGTGATCTTAAAAAAGAAAGAGTATTCGATGATCAATTGGAAGGATACATCAATATAATTAACTGCGCTCAAATGACTGAACATAAAACATTAGAATCTGAAATAATTATCAAGAATCTGAAATTATGGAACTCTAACAACTATGTAAGTGACCAGCACACAAACTGAACAAATAAAGATCACTGCAAATTCAAAGGTAAGGATTCGAATTTTCAGCACAAATCAGACCCTTTTCTCAACAAATCACAACTTTCACCAGAAAAAATCTCAAACCTACGAGATTAATTAACCAAAAATAGAGAAATTATCATAAAATCCCCAATAAAAGAACAATAAATTCTGAGCACTACAAGAATAATATTCGAATCATTACCTTTGATGCACACCGTGGCACCGTCCTCCGACCTCCGTGACTCCGTCCACCGACCTTGTCTCGGCGGCGTTAAAGACTCACAGCCACAGCCCACAGGAATTTCGCCCTCGTCGTCTCCCTGCCAGACCAAAAGCAAAATGAATTGGATTTGGTTAATTGGTTTTGTTGTGGCTATTGGCTAATGGACATTCAATTTTCAATTGCAAGCAAAACCATGGCCATGGATTGGGCCTTATTTTTAAAAAGTTGAATGAATTCTGTTCGTCGTCCTCGTCCCCATTAACCCCCAAACTAAGACCTCGTCCTTCTTCGCCCCCACACACATAGAGAAAGAAACTCACCGTGAATTATGGGAATCAATTTCTGAGAAATAAGGGAATTTCTGGGAATCAATTTCTGGGAATTTTGTAGAAGCCCTTTTCGGATCACCACCACCCAAAGCAAGAAAAATGGTGACTCTGCTTCAGAAATCAGATTGGGGCGAATGAATCGCTTCTAGTAATTCAGACTACCGATTGGGGATCGCTTATAGGGTTTCAAAGAGACCGTCCAAAGTTTCTCTCTCTTCGCTGTCTTTTCTTCATTTTCTTCCGTTAGATTTGCCGTTTTGCCGTTAAAACAATAAAAATCCGTTAAATTTTCCGTTAAAACAACAAAATTCCGTTAGATAGCCACTTTATATATAGAAGAGATATAATATATTTCATATATTACAGCATAATTTATTACACAGTGTTTTTTATTTTGAAACTTTAATTATATTTTATGATTGGTTAATGAAGAATGTCAAATCTATCAAATTCCAACATAACATTAATGTAAATTATAATAAAAATTTTATTAAGATTGAGAATCCTTTTTTTTTTTTTATATTTTAGATCGAAAATCCGATAACATAGCAATTCTAATATGAATTTAACAATCATGTATCTGTTGGATTATCGAATCAAATTGAATAAATGAATTATTCTTATCGGATTGGATTAGGTTGGATATGGGCAAATTCGGTCCATATCCAATCCATTTACAGTCCTAACCGTGAGGGGGTATTTTGGAAGAAGTATTGAGAGCAGATATCCTTATTAACATATAAGATCGTAGATACACGGTACTTGATAGATCTAACCTCATTCTGAACAAAAAGTTTTGACCTTCAAAGTGTGAGAGTTTTAAAAGGGAAATATTAACAAAAAAAATCCTTGTTAACACATACGACAACTGATACATGTATAAAATGTGTGTGTACATAAAGATTTCTTATCAAATAGGGGTGGTTGATATGGATAAGTCTATTTGTACATGGTATTTTGCCATGTACATGTCCAAGGAGACTTGTCTCTCATGACGAAATGTCCAATATATGTAGCAAACCTCGGTTGATATACGTAGGAAAAGTGGTTCAATTAGGGTACATTTTTGCACGGGTCAAAATAAATTTAGTTCTGCTGTATTTATTCATTCTTTCAAGATATTATATTGAAAACGAAAGTAAATTAACCTTCAAGGAAATAAATGTGGACTGAACAACATCAAGAATTATTATTGAATATCTCTTTTACCCATTCTCATTCCCATTTGCATTAAGTGTTCTATGTTAATTCGGGGACCCAATGCAGAACCCCTTGAGCAAAAAATTCAGGTCGTGAACAAGACAAGGTGCAACGATACTGGAAATATAGATGAAAAATTATCGACGATATCTATGGATAATGAAGCGATTAGCGACAAATAAATTTTAGTTGCTAAAAAATAGGAGATTTCGTTGCTAATCTGGCGGTAATTAGTGATGAATTCTCTTTTTATGTCACAAAATTACCAAGGCAACTTCCGCCTTAGAAATTTGTATGAAAATTTCATTGATGGTAAGAAATTCGTGTATCTACGATCATATATGCTAACAAGGATATCTACTCTCAATACTTCCTCCAAAATACCCCCTCACAGTCAGGACTGTAAATGGATTGGATATGGACCGAATTTGTCTCATATCCAATCTAACCCAATCCGATAAGAATAATTCATTTATTCAATTTGATTTGATAATCCAACAAATACATGATTGTTAAAGTCATATTAGAATTGCTATGTTATCGAATTTTCGATCTAAAATATTAAAAAAAAAAAAAAGGATTCTCAATCTCAATAAAAGTTTTATTATAATATACATTAATGTTATGTTGGAATTTGATAGATTTGACATTCTTCATTAACCAATCATAAAATATAATAAAAGCTTCAAAATAAAAAAAATTACATGTAATAAATTATGCGGTAATATATGAAATATATTATATTATTATAATAAATCAGATTGTGTTGTGATCGAATCGGATTGACTTATATCCATATTTTACATTTATATAGTTACAATTTCTAAAATAAAGCTATGGTTAAAACTTTTTTTTTTTTTTTATTTATCTTGTTACACGAGGAATTTCACTACAATAATCTTGATGAAGCCGCTTTTGATTTTTAACTTTCAATTTCATTGAAAGAAATTTTCGAGCAATCTCAATTTTGGATTGGTTGGAATTAGGGTCAATTAATTTTTAATAGTAAATAATTCGGTAATAATATGTAACCAGAAATAATTTTGTGCTAACTTTTCAAAATGGTCCCAATTTTTAGGGTATATGCGTAAATACCCCTTATTTTTCTCTTCTGTGTATTAGCCCAATGAGGAAGAAAAAAAATTGCCCTTCCGTTACCAGTCCAGTGATTTTTGGCAGTTATATTGTTATATTGGATTAGTCTAAATGTATACAATCCATTATCCAATGGATTACACCCCCGTCACATGGAGGGAGGTCTACACACAATAAAATATTTGTGGACCGCCTTCCATGTGAAGAAGGTGTAATCCATTAGGTAATGAATTGAGTGTACATCTAGTACAATCCTCGTTATATTTGTTGGTGGACCGACAACTAGCTAACATTCATCATCGACGCACAACTCATTTCAAGCCCACCAACTTGTATCTCATCGTCTAAATTTGGAAAGCAAGTTACTCATTTTCCACGTCGCTTAAGACTATTCGTTGGGCAGACGGAACTTGAATTTTATAATTAAGATTTAAGATGGAGAAAAGAAAAGATGTCACCGCAACTGCTAAGCAACCTGATGGCTTGAGCCTTAAAATAATCGCCATGTCGTTTTAGGTTGTCCTCATTCACTGACCACTACACCGTCTAAAAACTTAAAACTATGTCAGCCTGTACAATATTATCAATTAACTGTTTGAACACAAAATTGATCTGTTCCATGTATAAATAATTGTGGAAACAGCCAATAGGTAATATGAAAACAACACAACAGTGAATTAAATTTATGGGAATTGTCTACTCAAAGAGCAACATTTTCATGTAAAATAAAATAAAACATGGGAATACATTATCCAGTGAGGTTAAATGGGATATCAACTTTTTATTCAACAGATTTTCTAAAATAAAGGATACTTGTGCAGTTGTGTTCTTTCTAGAGACCATCACCTTCTTTTTATAAATTACAAACCAGAAATATACTTTGTAATAGTTCTAATTTTTGAAGTACAATGAGTAAAATATAATTGCAAGAATTACCATAACCAGGGGCAGAAACCACCCTTTGATTTTTTCACTACTCGCTAGAGCCATGATATTCTTCAGTCCTGTCAAGAAATAAATATACAGTTACTAATGTTGTTTGTCAGTGTGACTTTTGCAATGCTTATTAAACATCACTTTCTATTGATCATTGATTGTGTTTCTTGCATACAAAGTCGGCTTAACCATTAAGCAACTCAGACAGTCGCCTAAGGCCAGTATTAGGGAAGGCCGTCAAAAATTCTGCATGTTTTTCTATTTTTCCAAAATAAATAAATAAACCTCAAAAGTCAAGAGTCTTGAGACTCTTTACTTTTACTCTTTACTATTCTGAAACTTGATATAAAGTATGTAAGAGGAAAAGGATATAATAAAGACCTATCATGATGGGAAGCTACAAAGCATGGAAAAAAGACTGAAATATACTTGCCATTTCAATACTTTCCACTTCAATGATGCCTATTGAAATTAGCTATGTAGCTCTTCAAGGGCTCATCTTTTTGTTGGCAATTAGATGCGAATTTTTCTTTCGAAGTGTTGTGAGCTATGGTACCCATAAAATGAGTTAGATGTGACAGGTCTAGATTGGCCTAGCACACGATGGATTCGTGGGTCCTCTTTTATAACATTTCTTAGAGACCTGTTAAAGTCACCAGAAAAGCTCCACACTCCATAATGTCAGGTGCTCCTTAACAACTCCATACAAGATCTATAGGTACCTAAATGGTCAGTCATTTACCTTTTCCCATCAAATAAGGGCATCTGATTGGCGTCTTGAATGGCACGTCAAGTGGTCCAACCCTCAGTCATTCCTTCATCCTCTTCAAGCTTTTAAATCTCCACCTTAGTGTTTACTTCAGTACTCTTTCATTTTGCAAACCTAGCACAGACAAGGATTAGCCACACTTGAGGGAGATTTCTCTATTCTTTGATTTAGCATGTCCCTCAGATTTTTCGATGCATACCACCCTACCCCTGCACGGTTATCTTGTAGCCTGTCTAAGACCTCGTGAGCAGCCCGAGGTCTTCTTTCTTGGTGGGTTTTGGTCTCTTCTTTTGGCACCAGATAATGGGCTTGCACCAAGCTCTCTCATGTGCCAACTCTTTTTTCTTTTGGTAGACTTTAAATATATTTGACTATGCCAAAACCTAAACTGTGATGCTTCCAGTTGAGCAAAGAATTCACTAGTAGGTGGAATCAAACGTGCATCTCTCGAATTCTACTCAATCAAAAAAGCCTAGCCTCTGTTTGGAGAGAATTTATGAACGGTTTAATTTATAAATAGATAAAAATTAGTGGTGGATAAGTGGTTAATACTTAGGAGTCCATTGGAATGTATGGTCAAATGTGAAATGTTTGAGCTCCATTTTTGTGAAAAATGAGTTATGAAATATTGATTTTTTTAAGAATGTATCGTTAAAAAGTAAGGAAATTATTTTGATTTAAGTGTAAAATTATTTCATTGAGAGAATTTGAGGTTGAAAATGAGTTTGAGGAAAAATGAACTTTTAGAAAATGGGGCTCAAACAAGGGCAAAGTGTGACCATTTATAAATGATTTATAAGTTTCGCCAAAGGAGGCTTAACCTTGAGAGTGTGGCCAAATAATAAACACACGCGAACTCGGCTTTCCTTTTGGGCACAAGAATGATGTCCCCAATCTAGAAGTTAATGAGGTCATAGCGTGAAGTAATAAGGCAATCAAAAGCCATCATATTATTAGGTCCTGGAATCAAGATTAAGCTTTCAACAACAAAAAATAGAGTTTTCACCCTGCTACTAGAAGCTAATCCATAGGGTTCACGCCATGCCTTTCTTGCTTTTAACGTGTCCCATTGTCTACATTTCTTCTTAAATCTCTCTACATCTACCCTACGGGCCTTGACGTGGTTTTTGCTTTTGCTTTTCATATAAAAGTTTTTGGAGGAAACTAACTTAATTTTTGTTTAAAAACTAATTTTTAAAAGAGCTTTTTCCAAAAGTACTTTTAGAGGAAACCATATTGCACTAACTTCCTCTAAAAGCTTTTCTAACTATCAAAATAATTTCATAAAATTAGTCAAACGAGTCCAAAGCAGCTTTTGAGAACTCAAAAGCTCATTTTGACTTTTCAAAAGCCATGCCAAACAAACTTCTAGTACCTGAATATGAGGATCTCTTACCTCATTTTTTCATCTTCCAGCTATATTAACTGGGAAGGTGGTGGTATTTCTACAAATGTAGGACAAGTTGACTTCAGAAGATCGTAGGACCTATTGATGTTCCATTTAGACTATTCGAGGCAACCGCCATGGCCTCCATACTAAGTTGTATAGCATCATCTATAGCTCATATATCTCTCTACATTCTTATACTTTATACTCCGAGAGAGCCAAGATCCTATATATAGTTTATATTCCTCAACCAACCTCTTCTCTAGCAATGGATCACCGCATCATCAATGGGGTCCAGCATAAATGAGGGACATCCTCATCAGTGTAATCTTCAAAGTGATCATGCTCTTATAACTACATCTATTACAACCTTCAAACTTCGTCACACAACTTCAAGAGTAAAGAATTACCAAAGTTATTATGTTTACAGGAGACACGTGAGAGCCAAGCAGAGTGCCTTGACAAATATTGAAACATGATACTGCACTCTAGTGTGTTCTCATCCACGAACGTGATAGACCAGGACTTTGACACCATGTAGACTGTTTTAAGTGTTACAGAGCTCTTGCCATCCTTAACTTTGTCGCATGGCCTTGACTATAGAACATCTTATAACCAAAAAGTATTTGGTATTATCATCCTCTAACAGTGGTAGATTATTCGTTAATAAACAAATGTCTAACTTAAGTAGAAAAGGATGAAGTGGGGGGTCATAGTTAAAGCAGGATTCACTGATTTATGACTTACTATCTATTGCCCTTGTCATTTTCCCATGCTTTGCTGCACCCTGCAATTTTTCAGAAGCATAGAATCAGTAAAAGACAACTAGAGTCCGTTTTAATAGAAACCAATTAAATGGAAATAAGATATCAAACTTCACTTACTACAGATTTAGCTTGCTCCAACTTGCTCATTTTCGCAATAATATTACCATAAAATTGTGCATCTTTCCTATTGTATTCTTTGACTTTAGCCTTCAAAACTTTATATCCCAATTTCACGTCCCTGATATTATACATTGTATCCACAGATAAGGGCACAAATAATAGTACTTAAGTCAATGTACAGCATGAAGCAGACATGGCTCAAAAGCCAAGTACCTGTTATCCGGATTGATTTCAAGTGCCTTTTTTATATCAGTTTCTGCCAAATCCAACTCAACCAGATGTATATATGCTTGTGCTCTTCTATAAAGCGCTTTAACATTTTTACTGTCGATTTCTAACACTTCAGTGCATAGTCTCTCTGCCTCTTTGTAATCCTTCAATTTTAGCTTGCAAGCTGCGATATTAAGATTGCAAGTGATTTTGAGCACTTCAGCCTGTTTTTTCTCTTCCTCATTGAATGAAGATTCATATTCAATGAACGAGACAGCCTGAGGAAAGCAGAGTATGATGTTAGAAGATTGATAACACGGGTCAACGAGACACAGTGAATCAGGTGTCATTCCCTTGATTGATTACATACTTTTTCATATCTTTTTGAGGCTCTTTGATATTTTCCCGCCTTGAACCATGCATTCCCTTCCTCTTTCTTCTTCCCAGCAGCTTCTATCTTCTCTTGGGTACTCATTTCCCAAGATTCCTTTTCCTACAATCAATAAGATGTCAATTGCACATAATGGTTATAGTATTGAACCTGCCAATAAGCTCATAAGAAGGGAATACAAGATGCAGGAGGGTAAGAACTACATTTCACCAACCTTCACAAAGGAGACCATCTCAACTTCATAATATACAGTGGAATTGCCGGGTACAACAGCCAGATCTTGTTGAGATTCAGATGGACCAAATGCATACTCTGACTTAATTGTTACAAGTGCTCTTTCCCCTTTCTTCATGGTCTTTACAGCTCTATCAAGTCCCTCGATAACCTTATCTGTAGAATAAGTTCATAATCAAATTAAAAAACTAGCTATGCTATATAAAAAAGTGACTAGCTTACTTAATGACATTTTTATTTCCTAGAGCAATCATTGTAAATTGCTTTTTTATATTTAGGAATGTAGTTCCAGAATATCTTTATGTGATCTTTTCACATAAACTGAAGTTATAGCTTTCTGGCATACTAGAATTATATTCAATAACTAGGCATCCATTTTTAATGATAACCAGATCCCTCTGGTACGCACACTGGCACTGAAGAAAGAACCTATACATAGGTTACGGCTTTTGAGAATTGGTGAAGTATCACCACAATGCCACGTAGGTGAACCTTTTAAGATTGTTTCTGTCTACTGTATGGTCCACCTTACCAAGCAGCCACAAATGTTTCAGAATTACAAGAATTGCTTTTCAACACATCATAAATTAAGTTTCATAATTAATGAAATATAAAAAGACAAGTATACATAATAATATGACTCTTTAGAATTTGAGAATTCAACCCCAAAATTTTGCCAAGCAGATTAATGCTAAATCATTGAATTTGAAAAAGTTATGAAATACTAAGGTCTCGTATTCACAACAATTTTAATCCATAAAAGTTTAAATGCATCCTTTTTCTGTGTGATTAAGTTACAACTCAAGATTCACGGGTTTATGGATATCTTCAATGTGCAAAATATAATTTGTTAGATATCATTATCATATGAAACTACCTATAGAATTAAGGAAACAAATTGATAGATGTCCACTCAAAAGACACTCATGCAACAATTTTCACCACATAATAGCTCCTAAAACCGTTTTCTTTCAAGAAGTACAAATACTCAAGTTGGATTTATCAATTTGCAAAATTAACAATAAATCTTATCTATTTTCCAATACGTCGTTGAATTTTCAAGAATTTCAAACAATTTCTCTTTAGTTTACAAAAGAAATATGCTTTTGAAATGCTAAAAAAATCTCCTGAGATCTCGACAACAAAATTATCAAGAGTTCAGAATACATCAAGAAATTTCACAAGAAGATTCTTGTTAAAATTGCTGTTGGAGAAATTCAGCCTGTTCAAGCAGGGTATTGACTAGGTGAGTAAAACAGTCCACTAATACAAACCAAATGGGACCGCTGGCCAGTTCGCTGGTTTTCCAGTAGGACCGTCTAGTCCGGTTTAATTTTATTAACTAAGATATGATGATTTATTCGTTAATTTTTTATAACTACTTCACTTAATATAATCGTTATATTTATTATCATCAATTTAGTCAAAACTAGTAAATAACAAGTTATGTTCCCCACTAAAACTGGCACATAAAAGTTTAAAAGTGTAACTAACACATAAACAATTAACCTTTTTTTAAAATTATTTCCCAAAATTATAGAAACTTTTCATTTTTGACAACTTGAAATATTAATCGTATAGATTCCAAGTTAATCAACATCCTAGTGGTCTTAAGTTTGATCTTTTAGTTAGGTCGTATAAGATAAATATGATTACATGAAGTACCATTATATATGTTTTATAGATAGGACACATTAACCTACTAACTATTTTATTTCAAATCCTCTTGTCTTTGAATCAAAATATAACAAACTAAGAGCTAATGATTTATTTACACTACCAACAATGTTGTTTACGTTGTTTCACTGGGTAGGTTTTTACTCAAATGATTCACTCAGCACAATCAGAGGAAAAGCTAAAGCAAGATAAAGAAAACAAACATGTGAAGAGTAATAAAAACTCGAATCCAATTTGTTTCGAGTCATTCCAAGTATTTTTTACTTCAATTGAATATATACCGTCAGTTTGCATATAAAGGAGTGAACAGCATCTTGCGACGGAGAGAGATGTAAACTGAGTCAGGTCTTAGTTTTTTAACTTTTTGTTATTTTCTGGAAAAATAAAAATAGACCCACATGGGAAAACCCCCTGGCCTGCAATGCCCAGCCCATTTACACATCTTACATGCTTGGGAACTAGTTCGAACAAAAAAAGAAGCAAAATGGTTTTACCTTCATCTACCCTGAACTCAAACAGTGGTTCTTCATTGTGTCCTTTTTTCTCGAACACAGTCCCGTCCTCCAGCTTCCCAATCAATTTCACTGCCAAATTGCAAGACAAAAGGCATTTTGGATTACATATTCAGAATGCCACAAATAATATGCATGAATACATCATCATCACTTAACATATAACTTACAATGCACAGTTGCACCATCACTTGGACAATCGTAACCATCTCCCTCGAGTAGGATCTTTTTCAGAACCTTTTTGTCATTGGTAATGTCTGAAACTGTTTTCCATGAAACCAATTCCAGATTTATTTCAAGGCTAGCATTTGGTGGCACATCACAATCATCACCAGTGGCTGACCTGCCATTTTGTCCAAATCCATCTGCAACAATATTTACAATCAGTAACAAATATGGAAACTGCTTCAAATAGTATCAGAACAATGGATCTAACTTACACGTAGGCTTTACAGTCAAGAGGACTTTTTCCCCCTTCTTCATTGTCTTCAAGGCTTTAGACAAGGCAGGACAGAAATACCCTGAAAAGAGATCCCCACGTCAAACACATCCTCAGGCCCCACTCAGTAGAAAAGAAAAGTTTCCGAAAAGGAATCATACCATCTGTTATGGTAAACTCCACTCCATCTGATTTTGAAACAAGTGTTCCATCCTCTAGCCGAGCCTCATATTTGACTGCAGAATACAAGTATACAGAAGGCATCAACAAACTCAAATAAATAAATAAAACTAGAAACAGAAAGAGAAACAGAGCATGCTAGGGAACACACCAAATACTTCATCAAGGTCTTTAGGATTTTGCCAACCCTCTCCTTCTGTAAGTACTTTCTTTAATATTCCTCCATCTTTGCATATGTCTTTCACACTAATCCAAGAGAGCAACTCCACTTCAAATTGAAGAGTAGCATTAGGAGGTATTTTTGGTGGGGACCCAGATTCTCCATATGCCAATTCAGGAGGAATTGTGAAGAGGGCCTTTTCTCCTTTTTTCATTGTCTTGATACCTTCTTCCCATCCTTTTATCACATGTCCTATGCAATGAAAGAAAAAATTGGTACTAGTTGGGCAAAAGAATTCTTTCAACTGTATGAAGAAACAACACTGAAAAGAGTAGCAACCTTTTATCATTTCACGGCTATCATACACAAGCAAATTTCTAATATGTACAAGGGATTATGTTATCATACATGAGCAAAATGTGCCAGCACGTTAGTAAATACTTATGGTTATTGTGACATTTTGCACTTCAGCATCCACCAGATGCATAAATATTCGAAATTCTGTCACTTTATTGAAGATTAAGTTATGAGATTAAGAGTTTGTTTGGGAGAGATTTTTTCAAATGATTTTTTTTTTTGAAATAAGCTATAATGAAATATTTCCATAATCTCCTATTATGACTTTTCTATTCCAACTTAGAATTCAACATGCCAATTGTTTTATCTGATTTGCAAAACAAAACTAGGAAAATAGGAAAGGTCAATAAATGATGTAAAATATTAGATAGTCCCAACAAGGGGGAATCGGAAAATCATCAAAGATACGGCCACTATACAAGAATTACTCATGAGATGGTGCTAGCAATGACCAGACAAAAAGGAAGACTTTGATCTATTGTAACTAAAACTCTGTAAACTCCTCCATCAAACCCTAAAACTAGCATATCGTAGTGCTTTATGGCCTCATAGATAATGAGAAGAATAAACAGGTTCTCATTTCAAAAATTACACTTCTTCGGAGGAGTGTTATGATTAAGTTTCTCGCAGTAGAATTATATTTTGTTGTGTCCACACATTTATTTCTCATGTATAATGACAGTATTTCAAGTCATCTCCATTCAGGACGAGATTGCATTGAGATATTAATCTTCTCTTTAGTATTCTTCTTTTATTACTAAAAATGGAGATAAATGGTCCAACTTAATCAAAAAATAAATTTAACTATGAAATTTCATAATTGCTATATCATATCCAAGAACAATTTATACTGTTCTACTTATGAATCACTGAAAGAGTGTCAAACATGAAACTTCATAAGAGAAGAACAAATATTTCCTCAGATTTAACATGAGATGAAACCCCTATTACAGATACTTCAACAATATGATTAAATAAACAACAAACATAAGAAGAATCATTAATTCCAAATATTAAGAGCTTTGCAGCTTTTACTGTTCAATAAAGATAGCATTCAGCATTCAATTCATAGAGGCATACCTTCCCCTAGCTTAAATTTGAATGGGGTGCCATGATCGTGGCTAGAATCAAACTGTGTCCCATCCAGCAAACAACCCACATAATGAACTGCAAAAAATTCACAAATAACCATTAATTTTGTTTAAGGGTAAATCCCATGCCGATTCAGAAACTATAACTAACATGGTATACAAAGTCTTAATATAGTATCCAAACAAACAGACAATGCAATCCGTCTATAGCTCAAACAAGTAATATGAGAACGGGAAGGCTATCAAAATATTAGTGTGAAGTTTGAATTATGTAGTACCAGGAAATCAGTATACAAATACAGAAATACTCTATGTACCTTCAACTTCATCTCTGGAAGTGGGATTCTCCCAGCCTTCACCTTCTTTGAGGAGCTTCTTTCTCAGATTATTATTGCCAATTTCCTTCTCTTCTCCAATTTTAAGAGTTGGATTTTCCTCTGGGAGATCCATTTCCATATCATCCATTCCCATTCCCATACCCATTCCCATTCCCATACCCATACCCATACCCATTCCCGTTCCCATGCCCATGCCACCATAAGCAGCGTCATAGCCAGCACCTGGAAACTGAAAATCGTCATCCATTTTGAACCTTTAACGAATCAATTGTAATCGATTCTCTAAAGTAGTTCGAGATTGCAAATGTGGCAGAAATGTTGGGAATTTTGCAAGAGCCGATGAGTGCTATGGAGTCAACTTTGGGTTTCGTAAGGGTGGAAAGTTGGTAGAAAACGAAGAACGGAGTGTCAGGGTAAGACTCTCTAGAAAGTTCTTTATTTTAGAGTCCCCAACCTACCAGATGTGACTCGCAGGTCCTCGCGTTTTCAAATATGTGCGAGTACTGGCCTTTCATGTCATATCCACGATGGCAACCGTTAGAATTTTTGAAAAGCGCTAAAGCCGGGATGAAAATTAAAAAATTCTCATTTACCATCGGTATAATTTAGGGCCTGTTTGAACCTAATTTTTAGTATAAAATATATTTTAAAATAATAAATTGATTGAGAATGTGTGATTAAAAAAAAATTTGAATTGCATGCAATATTATTTTATTGAAAAATATATTGTTGAATAAAAGAGTCGAGAAAATGCATTTTAAAAAAATGGAGATTAAACAAGTGCTTAATTTATATTATTTTTTAATACGATTTAAATTTTAAAAAAAGGTTTTGAAGTTGGATGGGAAATTCTAGACAAGGATTATGTTTGAATTATGCTGAAGTGCCCGAAAATGGATGATCGAATGGGTGACCGACTCTCACATTGCGTGTAGGTCTCGAGTGAATAAAATAATATTCGACTCCCGAGGTATGTATATTCGGTCATCCAAGATGTCACCCGAGATGTTAGAGTAGCACGGCTCAATATGTTTTCCTTTCCAATCTCATTTACTATTCGTAATGGGACAAAGGGCAAGCAATACACAACAGGTTGAGAGTGAGAATTTTGCAATCCCTGATTACTCCATGGAATCCTTCCATTTGACCAATGACGAAGTTAGGATTCAAAACTAGCAAGTGCACAATTACGAAAAAAAATTCAAAGACAAATATAAATAGATCAAAAAGTAAAAATTTCCCATAAAAAATCAAAACGTTGTCTTTTAGCGGATGGTTAAAAAGTCAAACGCTAATTAAAATTACTAGTGTACCCTTATTTTGAATTAAAATAAGAAAGAGTAAAACAAAAGAATCTTATTTTAACGGAGTCAGACTTTTCAGCACAAAATCATCGTACAAATTTGAAAGATTAGAGACTTTTGTCAGATATTTAATAGATAAAACACGTGAATGTCACACTTATCAAATATTGAGGATCTCCAATGAATTTTCCCCATCTAGAAACTTCGGTATAAATACACTAGCATCAACAACATGCCCTTTTTAAAAAAATTTGCAAGGTACAACCATAGAGTCTAGCTTTTGACTTTTTCATCAATCGAATTTTATTCATATGAAAATTATGAGCATGTTTGAGAGAGATTTCAATCTAATTAAAATTGAAAATATAGTCGTTATTAGGTCTCACTCGTCTAATAAAAGTCAACAATAACGGCTAGTTTTTCAATTTTAATCTGAATCCCTACCTAACGAGCTCTATATACATAGAGGGACATGTGACTTTGTTTCCAACGAAATTAAAAAATATGAAATTAATTTATACAATCAAACTATTAATATAGCCATGAACTCAATCTCTATACATGTAAGTATAGAATTTAGTATTATAATTACATGTCAATTAAATAGTAATAGAGAATGATAAATATTTTATACTTCGAAAATACTAATTTTTTCCCCTTAAAAACGAGCAAATGTAAGTTGTCTCTACTGCCATATTTCATATTGGGATTTGTCCCGACAAACACATTTATTCTATTACCTTACGGAGATGCTAGTTAGCGACTGGGGAGTGGCTAGAATTAGAATCTCGATTGCCCTCCACAAGTGTAATATTTTCCTGGCCTAAATAGGACTCGTAAATCTAGAGCTCATTTCCGATTCTAAATATCTAATCGTGGATTCAATAATTTGATCCTAAAATGTCCATTACACAAAGAATAGGGGGTAAAATTAAGAAAGAAGAAATCAAGACAATTAAAATACCATAATCCGCATTACATAGGCAGCAAACTCAAAATGCAAAGCTCCATTGAGGTTAATTGGCAAACAAAAATTTGAGGGCATGCCAAACAAGGTTGTGATATATTAAAAGGTAAAGAAAACTATTTACCCATACAATCACCAGAAGTACATATAAATCCAGCTAAACAAAGGCTGGACAGATCAATAGACACTAGAAGCAAGGATGCTTTGTGCATAGAGATTAAAAGAACCAAGGTAAAATCAAAGATTTAACACTACTCTCAACCTATCCAGAATACATCAGATACTACTCTCAAATACTATGATTGAAAACAAGATAACAACATTACATCAGGGCGGACCTAGGATTATTGTTTAGGAGGGCGAAACAGAATTACGTAAAAAATAATTTTAAATGATAAAGATAATATTCATGATGAATATTTTTTTTTACAATTGTTCCTTACGGCTTCTCATACTTTGAAAACGCCGTATAATAGTCTTGTTCGTAATTTCATTAAATACATCTTTTTCAATATCACAACTAAACTATCATTCATCTATTGGTCTCGAATCTGATTACGTAGCCGATTCTTCACAATATTTATAGCAGAAAATACTCTTTCAACTATAGCAATAGCAACCGGAAAAGTTAATCCTAAAGTCACAAGCATGTAAACTAACGAATACACTTTATTTCTTTTGGTCACAACTAACTGATACACTTTATTTCTTTTGGATTACATATTTCGGTTATGAAATGGTGGTGACACAAAATGATGAAATATACAGTTAAACTGAAAATAATGCATAGTTTCTATTCTCAAATAAAACTCTCCAAGAATTTAAATTGATATTATTCATGTGCTTTCTAATAATTATTAGTTAAACAATTACTACTTTGCAGACTCATTCTATTTCTGCTGTCTCCAGTCTAACTTCTCTTGTAAAACCCTACCTTTCTCTACAATTCTAAACCAAGGTCTCGGATGCTTACCTCCTCCAGAGAATTCAACATCCCATTTTTTGTACATTAAAACCGTTCTTTTAATTACTGTTGTGTTTGGAAAAAATAACAAAGAGTATTTCCAAATTACAAAACTTAAAAATTACCCTTCGGAAAGTAAAAGAAAAACTTCACCTGACCCCTCTGAGAGAGAACACAGTGTTAGGAATATTGGGCCTAACTCCACCTAATAAAACCGACTTATTATGGGAGAATTGCCCTCACCTTATTAAGTGGATTATTTATATTTTCCCAAGCATTTGCAACAAGAAGTTGATTATTTCGAACTAGGGCTGGGGAATTTAGTTTCGGGGGAAGGGGGAGGGGAGAGAAATGGCTTCTTTTAAGCATATACATTTCTTCATGTGGGCTTTGGTAGTTGGGTTATGGGTGGGGCTGATCTGTATTTTATTTTTTGAATTTTTTTTTTGTAAGGCAAAAATTCAATGGCCAGTGGGGGCAACTGCCAGTTGCCCCCACTGGCCCTTAATGGGTTCGTCCCTGATGACATCTCGGTTTTCCTAGGCTAAGCACAGTAGAAATCATTCTCTTAAATCGTAGTACAGGCTTCATGCCGTCAACCCTAGTACTCCAAAATTTCTTCTCCAACAAACACAACACTTAATTGAAAAGATTTTTAACTACAGTTTCTATGTTAAGAGTTTCAGAGTAGTTATAGGCATCGGTATATGATTTAGCCAGAAAATTTATTTTCAAGTGTCAACAATAGGGTACCAAGTGCCAATTTAATAAAAATGTCAAAGTGGCATGCGAGTTTATCACCTCTTCGTTTTTTATTTAATGCGATCTATGATGCTCGAACTTGGGTACCGGTACGTATCTAAGTGTCGGATATTTTATCACTATATATTAAAAGAGGCAAAGTAAAGGTCACACGTGTCATCATTTTCCATTGTCGTCAAAAATCATCCTTTAAAAAAAAACCCCTAAAATTAGTCAAATTTCCAGCAACGTCGTCCTCCTTCTCCATTAGATCACGTAACCACCTACTCCTCCTCACCCACTCCTCCTCCATTTTCTCATGCAATCTCATAAAATCTGTCTGTCTCTCAAGGCACAGAGGCGGAGCAATGGCGATCACCATTCATGACTACATGTTACCAAACGAAACCCACAACCTCTACAACGTCAACTTCTTCGGAGACATCATCCACGCCCTATTAACTCACGATCCCACCGTGGTCTCCCAATGGCTGTCAGAAATCCAGTCTCTCAACCATTCTCAAGATCGTCGTCTGATAATCGGCCTTGACGTCAAGTGGCGCATTGAAATAAGGTATTTTAATGCCAATTTTTTTTTCAATAGTTTTCAATTTTTTGTTGTGAAAGTATTTTCTATTACCATCAATCTATTTTCATTCTTAAACTCAATTTAACTACGTATTTTTGGATTTTTAGTTAATTTAATTGGTGATTGTTGAAATTGAATTTTACCGGCATGTTCTATGGATAAATTTAACGAGTGTAATGGTAAAGCAGTGAGTAAAAGAGTTCTTTCTATCTGTAAAATTTATCAGTTGTTAGATAATGTTCATCCATCTTCTATGCATTATTATGTTATATGGCTTCAATCAGCTTGAGTTTTAGTTGCATCTTTAGTTTTCAGTTTTCATTTTATAAACTTGAGTTAAAGTTTGAGTGATGATTGGACTTTGTAATGAAATTTTTGTGATTATAGCAAATATATGGACTGTGAAGATTTCGTTGACTTATTTAATCAATGTTATTGGTAGCATCGTTAAAAAATAAAAACTCCTTGTGCGCACGGAGGCATCTCCGTGCGTACACGGAGACACTTCATGTGCGTGTGATTACGTTGGTATATTTTATTTAATCAAATTTGTATAGTTGAAAAAAATGTTATTGGTAGCATTGTATATTTAAAAAAAAAAATTGCACGGAGGCACACAAAGGCACCTTCGTGCGCACAAGGAGGCACATCCGTGCGGTAGCATTGTATATTTAAAAAAAAATCGTACGAAGGCACCTCCGTGCGCACATGGAGGAGGTGCCTTCGTGTGCCTTCGTGCGATTTTTTTTTTTTTTTACAATGCTACCAACCTTCACATTAAGTACAAGAGCCAAATTTCAAACCAACATACAAAATTTAACAGAAAAAGATATACCCAAATTAACTACGCATTATTCTTGAGCTTAAAATTCTTGCCAATAGTTTTTGGAACTTTCTGTCGCTTCTAAATATCTCGGGCTTATTGGAACTTTAAGAAGCCTTAGTGAATGTTATTTAGGGCCACTTTATTTTTCCCATGTTTATACAATTAGTGAAATTTTCTGCTTGCAGGAATCTTTCATCCAACAACTTGTCAGGGAGAATTCCTACAGAATTGTTTTCAACATCTATCTTTGAGTAAGTGTTTTTGTTATTAAACGTTCTTCCAATCTTTACTTTTATTGTAGAACTAGAATTTGGGAACAGAAACAATTTGTGTTAGGTCCTAACAATTGCATATGAAGTTTGTACAGGTGTCATGAAATTTCTTCGGCTTTCTTTATTAAATTTTAATCTCAATTAAGTCCAAGGAAGCTATTATCATCTTTACTGTATCTTGCTCGAAAGGAATTCATGCGCTTTTTCGTTTAAGTTTCTGTCAGTACTGTGAAATATTAGGCGTGTTGGGATTCTACGGTCATTGGGCCCATAATTCTGTTATGGATAATGCTTGTTAATTTTGAAATTATCATGATCAATCCTCAAGTGTGATTATGATTTCCTTTGTCTACAATCTACATCAATTTGAGCTCTACTGAGACCTAAACTTGTTATCTTATTTTTGGTGCCTCCCACTTGTTCATTTCTGTCTTATGTGCCACATATCAGCTTCACAGGCATGCATCTCACATGTGGAAACAATTTCCTGCACCCTTGTGTTCCAAATTCCTCCACCCAAGGATTTGTTTATTTTCGTAGTGGTATTCTTAGTTTTATTTGAATATTATTCTTCTTGTGGAGAAAAAGAACAGAAACCTGACTCCAGATATCAATGCAATTTCTACTAGAAAATCAAAATTCGAAATTTCCATTACCATAGCAAGCATTTGTGCATTTGCTCTCCTGTTACTTGGGGCAGTCTTTGCTTACCGATTCCGTCGGGTGCATAAAACGAAACGTGATATATGTTGATGTGGAAGGTAAATTTTTCTTCTAATTTGTATGTGATATTGATATTGTTTTACTTTTTTTGAGTACACAGCGTAATATATATAAAGATTTCTGGGAGAGGCATTGGCTCTCCACATGTTTGTTGGTGTCAAAGCTAAATCATATTTCAAGCATTTCTTACTCTTGCTTATCCGTTTAAAGGGAATATTGGAATTTCAACTTCTGATGCACGGAATCAAAGACTCAAATAAACGAAGAAGCCAGTCTAATGGTGGTTGGATACCTTAATACTTATAGAGAAAATAGATAATTGATGTGCACATTTGTATATTTGAGTATCCCAAAAATTTTCATCCTTTTAACTACCGGGATTTATCTGCTCCTCTTGTTTAAGTTGATGACAATTATAGATCTCTGCATCCTCTTATCTGAACTCTGTAGTATACTTAGAGATTCTTCTGAACTCCACTTATATTGATGTATGGCTCACATTTTCACTTAGGTGAAGATGTGTGCAAAATTTCTTTTGGACAACTCAGAAGGTTTTCAATGCGGGAAATTCAGCTAGCAACAGAGAATTTTTTACTATGATTTTCATGTATACATGTATTTGATGTTCATTTATTTTGAATGTGGGGTTATAGGATAGAGGCTTATAGTCAGAGCTACAAAGAATGATAGCAACGAAGGTACGCTGTTTTTTCCTGTTGCCTTTTTAGACTTTTGTTTAGTAAATTTGTATCTTTGTATTTTTTTTTTTTTTTTTGGAGCTTGATTCGATCAGTGTGTTTCTTGACTAAAAAAAGGAGTAGTAGATTGTTATCTTTATCTTAAAAAATGAGAGAAAAATAAAATGAGTGGGTTAAGCTAAAATGTTTGTTTGAATGAATCTTTGAAATATACCAGATGAAGCAACGACTGGGAATGGTTCAAGCATTAATCAGACACTTGGTATTAAAGGAGCCAAGCAAGAAACAATGAGATTTGAATCTTTACATTTAATAGTTTAATGTACTTAACTCTTTGTCTGGAGTACTGAACCTATATTGAATTCACTTATGTTTGCAATAATAACACGAGTCATTGAATATGAAAACTTCGGCACAATTCTCACTTCAATCTAGCAATAACAGAACAATAGTGGGAAAGGGTTTTTATGCCTTTCAAGGGGTATGGGCTTAGTTAGATTGTGGAGTAGTTGATTGTGTTTGTGAAGTGTAAAAATTGTGCCTTGATTTAAAACTTCACCTCTTCAAATTTTAGGAAAAATAGATTGCATTTAAGGTGTTTGATAAAATGACCAAGTGGAAAATTAATGTATAATTAAGCCTAAACTAGCAATTGGGTTAATTGAGTTAAAAATATTGTGTTACATGTGGAAAATCAAACTTCACTATTATTTAAAAAATATATATATCCATCAACACGGAGGCATGGAGACACGGGCAGTGTCTCCATCCTGGATGGAGGTGCCTCCGTGCACGATATTTTTTTTTTATATATACAATGTTACTAATAACATTGTTTCCTTTTGTCTCCTAATGCACTATTTCTCACTTTTCTTCTATATAATTGATTAATTTATGTTCAAATAAAATGCGTTCCAAATTGAAAGATACACGATTTTTTTTTTTATACAATGCTACTAATAACATTTTTTTTGCTTTTGTCTTCTAATGCACTTTTTCTCCTTTTTCTTCTATAATTGATTAATTTATGTTCAAATAAAATGTGTTCCAAATTGAAAGATACAACCCAGAATTCGAAAAAATGGCTGGCTATGTTGGGGTATTTGTGTTGGATCCAAAGCTTCAGAATCAATTCACTCAAGTAAAGTTCCGAAGCTTGAGTGTAAGTTTTTAATCAAACATCAATGATAATATTAACAGCAATATGATGTCTCAAAGAATTCCAATAACAATGTTTCTTAAGGCAATCAACAATGTTTTTTTTTTAAGTCATTTTTTTTACATTGCTACCAATAACAATTTTTTTTACTAGCTACATAAAGTGTACTGCACATTTATTATATTTTTAACCTTTCCAACTAAATTTTGTTTCCAAATATGAAGTTCGAAAGCATATGACACGCACATTTTCACTTCCTGTAAATGTTAGAACCAAAAGCTTAAGGCAGTCGGATTCATCTGGAGGTTTAATAAGTGTAATATCAGCAGTCCAGAGTCTTCAACAAATGACAATGCCTCCCCGATATATCCCCTAAAAGAGAAGGTGTCAACATCTGTATATGTTACTAATTCTTTTAAATGTTGAATCCAATATTAATATCCATATTCAGCGAACCACATTTCACTTACATGGTTAGATGTATTAGCAATGGAAAGAACTATACTTAAATTCCGAAATGACGTTCATTATCTTGTTCTTTTTAATGGAACATTCGTTTTGTTGGTATATGTTTGTGTTTATTAGTGAGATAACATTTTGAGTTTGTGACTCATTGTGTAGGAATTAAATTAATTATTCTGCTACCTCAAACTTGAAACATCCCCTTCCTAATAATATAATCTATTTGTTTATATCGGTTTTATTTTGTGTATTCTCTTTATTTTGTCAAATTATTTTATTTGTTATTTATAATATTTTCAGCTGCATGAAATCAGAGGATTCAGAGCTTAAATTAACATAAAGTCATTCCAATCATTAGTTTAGGAATAAATCTCCAGACAAACCTTAAAAATATTTTCTGACGTAACTCAAAAGGTTTTTTATGATTTTCATTAAATCTAGAAGATTGCAGTTTCTTAAGTAATTTATCTAAATCCCACCCATGTTAATACCATGTTAATATTTATTTGTCTTTCTGATTCTTAATTATAAACATGTTCCTATTTTAAAACTTTTATTAGATTAATTCATTAATGTTGGAAATCTTCATTGCCCAAGTACAATATGACTCATTTTTTAGTAAAAATTATATAAATGTGTTTTGTATAAATGATTATAGTCAATATTATATGGATATTTTTTTGTGACTTAACAATATCTTTTTCAACACAGATACATAAAAATCTCAGTATTTTCAATCTCTAACTTCTTGACAATTGGATATATTATTTTTAAAAGTTAGTAGTTAGATTATATAGAAATAACAAGCTACAACGTGCCAAGTATAAGTAATTAACTTTTCATTTAACCTCCTAAAACATTTACAATCTAATATAAAAAAAATCATTAAACGTTCAATACATTTAATATCAAATGGAGAATCGAAAAGATACAAAGAACATTAAACAACTAACTAACGTGCAACGCACGTTAACCACACTAGTTTTCTAAAATGTAGGATAAATTGTCCCAATTTCAAACATGAGTATGTTGGTACGTCTTTCAAACTTCCATTTTTCCCCAAAAATTCATATGTAAAAAGTAAAATAATAATTAAGTGAATTTTATTAGGAAAAAGGTTGAATGACTAAAATGAAAATTTAATCAAAGTATGGTGATCTCTAATGAAAATTTAAAGTTGCGCGCATGTTTTTCTTTTACTTTAAAGATTCACGTGACTTCTATAATTGCTTCTTATCTTATCTTATTGTGCGTTTGACTGCAAGAGTGGAAAATGTGTAGAAAGAAAATGATTTCCAAGGAAAATAATTGTCTAGAAAATATTTTGCAGAGAATTGTTAATTGTGTATTTTCCACCTGAAAATTTTTTAAATTTTTTGACTTTATTTTACACGAAAAGTGTCTATTAAAGTGATAATTTTTTCCACAATTGATTATAAAATTTGTTTCCATTACCAAAAAGT